AGCAGGAAGACGCTTGGTATGGCCAATTTGATGATTTCTGAGTATAATTTGATTGAGAAATTCAGGGATCTCTGCATTCCTGTGAATACCGAGGATAGTCTGCATTTATTGACTACTACGGTAGTCCAGAACTCATTAGTTGAGCGGATCAAAGAAGCTCAATTGCTTGATGAAGAGATTCAGTCCATGAAAGAACAGGACTTTGTGTCCACTGATAGGTTCGGTATTAAATTTTACAAAGATCGGATCATTGTTCCGAAGGGTCAAATGGTAGATGAGGTATTGGCTGAGGGCCATATGGGTAAGTACATTATCCATCCTATTGCTACCAAGATGTATCAGGCCATGAAACCAAAATTTCTAGTGGTCTGGTATGAAGAAAGATATTGTTTAGTTTATGAATAAGTGTTTGATATGTTGTATATGTGCATTCATTCACGTTCATATAAATATTATATGATTTTTGATGTAATGATGATATATGTTATGAGAATCCTTGTCAGTGACCTTGGTATGTTGACTGCCTATGGCTTTGACCCTGGGAGTTATTTTCATACTACAGTTTGTGTTGATTGCCTATGGCTTGACCCTGGGAGTCACACTAGACATGTGAGACATGTCAGTTAGCTATTCTTGGGGAGAGCCCTTGAATAGTTAACCAGAGTATTAGTTATGATGTGATGCTTTGCATTTAGCATGTATCAAGGATATTCCTTGTGTAATTCATAGAGTGCAGTTTCCCTGGTCATTAAAATTTGTAAATTGTATTATCAATAATGACCCTCACATTTATTATGGATTTAATATTGAAGGATAATTACAAAGAAAAAGAAATAAAGTCACTTTTGGTGAAAAATGAGTTAAAATGACATTTAAGAGGTAAAAAATGCGGATAAATAAAGTTATCTAAAAGTGAAAGTAAAAATAGAAACGTGACTAGAAAAATATTCTAGTCTATTGGTTAAAGTTTGGTAATGAATGGAGGTGTGTAGATAGATGAGCTTATACCCGCTAGTATAATGAATTTATATAAGTGACTCAAGGGACTCACTATTCCCTTCTCTTTACGGACGCGAGACAGAGAGAACGAAGGAAAGAAAATGAAAATGGAGATTTTGTTTAAAATTCTTCCAAAATTCATAACTTGAGCTAGAGACCTCCAAATCACTCCGTTCCAAAGCCAAACCTGTGAGAAATTTCGAGAGAAATCTATTGGTACCAGTATTTCTGAGTGGGGTTCACTGTAGAGAGAGATCTTCTCCCCCAAAGAATTCGAATTTCATGGAAAATATGGGTTTTGATGGAGCTTGAAGCCATGGGAGCTTGAAGCAAGCTTCTCCCTTCATTCTAGGTAAGTTCATGTTAAGAAATCTTTGTTTTCTTTGAGTTTTGAGAAAGATTGAATATAGGTTTTCATTTTAAAAATTTGGATTGATTGAGCATGTTAGAGCTTAATTCAGGTTTAGCTCATGTTGAGAAAAGTGTTTAGATGAGAATTTTAACGGTGAAAATGTATTTTGGAAAATTAAAAATACCGTATTTTTGAATAGTGTCGTATACGTGAATAGTAACGCATACATGAATAGTATTGTAGAGATGAACAGTGTCGTATATATCAATTAACGAATCTTGGATTAGAGGTGTGTGATAAGCTTGAATTTGATGGAGTAAAGCATTGAAATCATGAAGTTGGCATGATTTCCTTTATGTGCCTCTTAGCCATTTTCAAAGGAAGTATGTGCTATGAGTTACTGTTTTACAAAGCGAGCATACTTTTATGCGGAATGATATTCTAAGGTGTATGGACCTTCGCTTTGGTGAAATAAAAAAGAAAATAAGGTAGCTCCTTTGTATGGCCTTAAAATGAGTTTTGGCCATTTTCAAATGAGGTATATGTTCGGAGATATTGTTTCGCAAAGTGAGAATACTTATATGCGTAAAATAATTTATATAGGTGGCTAAGCTTGGGTTTAGGCACTAGACAAAGAGAAATCTTATAGCTCCTTTGTAATGGGCATTCGGCCTTAAATTGGGAAAAATAGGCTTTTAGGTGCTAAGAGGAGTAATGAGTGTTCTAAAGGCCTTTTGGGACTATCCTAAGACTAAGTGAATATATGGAATTTTGTGGGGATTTGTTGAACAAAGAACCACCCACTCATGACTTAATATGATTAAGTAAAAAGAAAATAAACAATAAAGTGTGTGTCTTGTATATTTACATGGCATTATATCATTTTATTGAGTTTTATGTTGAATTCCTTCTCTAGGTGTACCTAGGGACTGTGAACGTTTGGATTCTCGTGGAGTATGATAAGTAGCTTGTTCTTCAAGTAAGCAGATTGTAAAGCTCAAAGAGGTAAGCTCTATGTTTATGGGGTTCGCTCCTACTTTGTGTTCCGCCATAGTGTACGGACTGTGGTCAGGTTGTATGATATGTATGAGATACATGATATAGATGCATTCATATAGAGCTATATGATAATATGATATGTTTTGTTTTGATGTATTTACTTTGATATGTGTTAATATGATATGTTTTGTTATGATATGACTTCTGTAACATGATTTCTGTAACAATATCTGGCCATTGATTGTATAGTACCCGGATGTTCGCTTTGGGGTCCTCCCTCGGGACTGATGGTGTACGCCTCTGATATGTTCTGGTTCCGCTTTGGGGTCCTCCCTCGGGAACACGTGCGTTGATTTCCGCTTGGGGTCCTCCCTTGGGAATGACTGCGTACGCCTCTGATATGTTCTGGTTCCGCTTTGGGGTCCTCCCTCGGGAACACGTGCGTTGATTTCCGCTTGGGGTCCTCCCTTGGGAATGACTGCGTATGCCTCTGATATGTTCTGGTTCCGCTTGGGGTCCTCCCTTGGGAACACGTGCGTTGATTTCCGCTTGGGGTCCTTCCTTGGGAATATCCGCGTACGTTTCTGATAAGATATGTGTATATGTTTTGTTTATTTATGATATTTGATTTTATGACATGTTTTATGGGATATGTATGATGATTTTGTAAATGATATTTGTTACGTACGTTGATTTCCGCTTGGGGTCATCCCTTGGGAACGATTGCGTACATCTTTGATATAACACGTTTTGTTCTGATGTGAGTATTGTGATGATTTTTGTAAAAGATATTTGTTACGTGTGTTGATTTTCGCTTGGGGTCATCTCTTGGGAATGACTGCGTTTGTCTTTGATAAGATATGTATATATGCTTTGTTCAGTTATGATAATTGCTTATATGATGTTTTGTATATTATGTATCTGACTGTCATGCAGGAAGTGAGCCCAGGGTATGGAGGGTTTTCCATAAACCTGGAGTTTACTAGAGATTCGTCTCTAACCCCGTTTGGGGATATGATTTCAGGAACACAGTTAATTGAAGAGCCTCATGGGACAAGGACACTAACCGTGGCTAGAGGTACTAGTATGAGGATGTGGAGTTCTGGGTGGTCGGATGCTACTATTTGTTTTAGACGTATTTTTGGAAAAGATGTATTGTTGCATAGTGTTCATATTCGATACATGTACATTTATGTATTCAGGCATGATGATATGACTATGTAGTATTCAGTTATGTTATGTATTGGATTGCATGCTATTAGATTTGTGGCACAGAGCCAAGTTCAGCATGCGCCCATAGATGGGTATCTGAGTATATTTGCATGACTGGTACTTCTGGAAATATATATTGTTTAAACTGTCTATCAGGAACTCTTGAGTGTGGGATTGGAAAATCCCCAGTTGTCCGATTTACAGAGGATACTCTGTCCGATTTTCGTCTCCGTAAAATAAGAATTAAATTAGAAGAAGTATGCAATGTGATATGTCATGTGAAAAAGGATTAAAGAAAAAGAAAAAGTTAGTTCGTATTTTCGTAAGTTAAGTCTTCCGCTGTTTCTGTTTGTATCATATGTATGTTAATTGAACCGGCTCGAGACGGGGATGTTACACATACACCCAATCATGCACAATAAATTGTAATCAAGACTAATTTAGAAAAATAACGATATGCACAAATAAGTAATCCATTTATTCAGTAATCCAAAAAAAAAAAAGTAATCCATTTATTCACTGATGGAAAAATTAAAATCGAACGGATGATATATTCACTTGCTAGTTGAAAACTCTTATCTTTTGAACTCAATTTCTTTTTGAAAGAAAACCATTTTTTTTTTCCTTTGTGAAAGAAACAATCAAATTAAGTATTTTATTAAAAATGATAAATTTCTCGTCAAAAAAAGATATTGAAATAGATAATAATTAAATGAAAATAGAAACTCTATAAAATCATTTTATTATTGGTCTGAGGTGTTGACCTGAGATGTGCAATCCCATAAAGAATTGATGATTGATGTTTGAGTCAATTTGAACACACACACACATATATATATATATATATATATATTTTGAAAAGATCAATTTGAACGTGGGAAAAAGAAATATCTTTTTAAATGACACAAGCTTGTGTCCTTTTAGGTGTTTTACACAAAGTATGAGACCGGTCATATTTTGTATAAATCTGAAAAGTTACTTCTTTTTTTTCTTCCAAATCACATAACTGTGTAAGTCAGTAAAAGAACACAACTTGTACTCTTTTAAATGACACACACTACACCCTTTGAACATATTGGCATAGGAGGAACGAGCTCTCTGTGAGTTGGATTAAGGTGTTTTGTGGTGATTTCTACGGTGGGTATGATGGACAGAGGGTGCCCCTTGCAAGTGTGAGAGTGGGTGTGGACCTATGAGCCTAGTTTAGGGCTCAATAATTCAGTCCATAACCATAATAAAAAAAATAAAATTGAATCCATTTTTTTTTTTAATAAATGGTAAGCCCCATCACATTATATATTTATAGTAGAAGATAACTATCTCCAATAACATGAGAAAATAAAATCCCTTAAAATTATCACAGACTAATATGTATAATAATGTAGGCACGTATTTTTTTACTTTTTTACTACGTAGTAATAAGTGAGAATTAAAATATTTTAATATTCTATTTTATTTTCCACTTCATTTACTTTTTTACTACGTAATAATATTTTCTATCATTTTATTATTGGCATATCTTTAATAGAAATGATTCGTTACAAGTGTCAGCATTGAAAAACTGATTTAGTTTTTAGTAAGAACTTTGTGGATGGTGATAGATCCGAAAAGTTTAAAACAGCTTATAAAGGGGGAGAATCTGTTTTTAACACTTTGTCCTTCTGTTTTTGTTTATTTGAGGTGTTGTAGAGTGTAGACAATAGTGTCTATATTAACTTTTTAAATGATCTTTCTCTAGGAAGTTAAGTGGTGGGACAGCTTTGATGGCAGAGCTTTGGGGTCTCCTAAATGGTTTGGAATGAGCCTGGGACTCTGGATTTCGTCAAATCATTTTGGAATGTGATTCTGTTGAAGCTTTGGAGCTGATATAATATCTTGATATAATAATGATTAAAGAGATAATGACATAGACCAAAACTAAATAATAAATCACGGTAAAGAGTCTCATGCCAAGATAAGGAACAAAATGGGATGGCATTTAAGGGCACAATGGCTCTGGTGTGGTTTCTGCAACGTAATAGCTCTATTGATTGTGTGTAGAAAGTTCCTATTTAATGGTTGGAAATTGATTTTTTTAGGTGGGGAATATTACTTAACGATGAAATTAGTCAAAATTGTTTGAACTGTGCATATGCAGAGGATTGAAATCCTCTGCAATGAAAGTCCAAAAATCTTGTAAGAGAATAACCCCTTGAAAGACCTTAATGGTCAGGTAATTGAACTAAGTCCGTCCATAATAATGTAAACAATCGAATAGTGGTTGAAATTAATTGATACATGTAAAGAATAAATTCAAACAAAAAACTTAGTTGTTAAGTGAAGATCCATTAATGATTTATATATTTTTTTACTTCGCCTTCTCATACGAGAGTTTATTGGACATGAAGGGTAGATAATGCACAGGCCCCACTTACATGTGCTAAGAAATTTCACAAGAGAAAGTGGGGGCGTGAGGATTGAACTTGGGACACGAAACTCTGATACTATGTAAAACAACTATCTCATCCAAACGTTTAAGGTAATGAGTGAGGGCCTTTTAATGGTTTATACTATTTTCTGAGATAAAGTTATCTCATCTCTGGTAAGCCCAAAACGACATCGTTTTGGGACAGAAAATAATGTTTTTTGTAATTCTAATATATTGCAGAGTTATATTAGTCTTTGTTATTATAAATTTTTAATCTCATAACTCCAAAATAATGTCGTTTTGGGCTCATCGGAGATAATTTTATCTAGAGTGAATGAAGAAATACTTTTTCTAAGGAAGCAGTTGGGTTAAGTTAGAAGAGTTTATTTTTCAGACATGTTGCATTACCTATGGCCACTGCATTCCGAACTTCATTTTGCCATATAGGCTATAAATATATATATAGCAGATGCACATGATTTTTATTTCAATTACTGCAAAATCCACTTGCTGTCTCTGAAGGCCATATCTAGAGGCCCTCAGTGAAGGTGACACCAGTGTTCTTCAACCAAACATTACCTTGTATGAGTTGCGTTACTGTGAACTTGCTAGCCTCGGCAGCACTTGTAATGACATGGTAACCAGGCCAATTCACTCTCTTGCTGGTACCAGCACCTGGCCCACTGTTCATGTACTCTCCATAATACAACGTTTTCAAAAAGTCGCTACTGGCATCATCCCATGGAGCCCACCCTGCTGGGTCTATATGGCTGTCAAGTGACGACTGCATCACAACGGTTCTGGAGTATTTCTTCCATGGGCGGCCCAGATAAGTTTTAACAGAACCCACGACGGGCTTGAGATCCGAGCTCGGTGTTAGTTGACATTGTTGAATCGAAGTTCCTGAATTCTGGTTTGGATCTACTCGTCCTTGGGCCGTGAACATGTTGTTCTGGTTACTCATGGGCTTTCGGGCCACCAGGTTGCATTTCTGGAACACAACAGATGCGTCTCCAAAGATGAAGTCAATGGTGCCAGTGATGAAAGAGTCACGGTAGAACTGCCTGTTGGTGTGAGCATAGAGAGTGTCTTGATAAGCGTCAATGCGGCAACGGTTTATCACCGACTGGTCAGCGCTCACGCGCAGAGCCACTGCTTGATGCTTCTCTGGGCCTGCTGTGTTTTGGAACCACATATCCTGGGCTATGAACCCATCACCATTCGCAGCTGCAAAGTCACATTATTATGAGTTCAGGGGGCGTTTGGTAAAAGAGAAATTTTTATTTGTCCGGGAATCTCGATTTTCAAAAATATGATTTTTGCATTCAGTTTACGATAATATCTGAAAATTTAAAATTTAGAAAAATTCAATTTCCCGGGAATCCCTCAAAATCCCGCGTACCAAACGCCCCCTCAATGTTATGTTTAAAAGACCCAAAACCCATTAACCCTGCTAAGCCTTTTTATTTCATTGTATTTGCATATATCTATATTTTTTTTTTAGTTAACCGACCAACTTTAATTACTTCTTTTAGATGAATTGGTTTTTTTTTTTTTTTTTTTTTATATTTTCACAAATTTTAATTTTTTGAGCAGCCTATCAGACTAATCTGGAGTGCAGGGCAAGTTAAGGATGAAGATATTTAAACTCTTTTTAAAAATAGCATATAAAGATCGAGTGGGGCGAGTTAAGGATGAAAATATTTAAATTCATTCTAAAAGTAGTATATAAGGATAAACTCTTTCATCTCCTTTTCTACCATCTCAACTACCATATTTTGGTACATTTGCATATTCTAGTTACACAAGAAAACATGAACAGCTAGCAAAATGGAAAAAAGCTGAGTTAAGGTAGAATCATACCAACAGTGGCAGTGCTAAAGGTGCCTGTTCCATCGACAAAATTCAAGCTGCCGGTGATTATTGTTGCATCCATACCATCTCCTACGAGCATCAAATTCTTCTTCGTCTTACCAATATCAACATTCTCTTTGTACGTCCCCTTTTTCACATAGATAACATACCTTGTCTTACCATTGTCGGGTGCGGACGCCACAGCCTCAGCCACGGTCTTGAACTTCCCATCCTTGGCTACCACAACATTGGCCTTGATATCCCCAACCGAAGACGACTCCAAAAGCCTCCGATCCTTACTTGTCACCCACGAGGGAAAGTTCCCATTTAATGGTTCATCAATGAGTTCTACTTCACCCTTTGGATTTTGAGGCAAAACCGCAACAAGCAAGGCCAGAGAGGTTCTTGCTCTGGATATCAAATCGTCAAGCTCAGCCACCTCCATCAGTGCCCGAGTTGACCCTTCTAACCCATCCATGCAAGTGACATGGTTAGTGAGCACGCCGCTTAACCATGAGTGTGCATCTTGCAGCGAACCAGTGGTCTCTTTAGTTAGAGCCATCATTGAGTCCCAAACTCTGTCGATGGACATGTCCATAAGCTGTTCACAGTCATGCAAAGCTGCTTCCTCTTTCGGACTGTTAGTCCTGAGTTTGATAGCTTTGGCTGTGTCCATAGATTTCTGAATGTGTGAAATGGACTTCATTAGGAAGGATTGGAGCAAATTGAATTTGTGGTGTTTTGAGGTGGTTAAAGCTTGAGTACCTGCTACTTCTGAGACATGTTGTAAACATGATGCTGTATCAAGTGCATGTTCACAGACATGGTGAGGTTTGATGAGATAAGAAGCAATAAGTGCTGATGAGCTTAGGATAGCAGCCACAGAGAGGATTAACCAGAATGTTTTGGAAAAGGATTTCGATTTTCTAGGTTTGTGTAGCAGCAGAGATTCTTGGGTAGCCATACTGTTACTGGCTGCTCTTGGTGGTCTTTGCTTTCCATGTTTAGTCGTTATATAGCCCAATAAACTCGATAATAAATTACCTAGCCACCTATGTATCCTTATCATAACTTATAATAAACTATAAAATATGGCCACACATCTCGTCTAATGGTATCTCTATCACGTGTATGACATGTGGAGTCATGTGTTTTTGATTTGTTTTTCGTATTTGCATTATTAATTCTTACAAAGATTTTTATATAGCTAATCTAGCTACAAGTATTTTCTAAATGTTTCTAATTCTAATACAAAAATATTAAAACTATAAAAAAATATACATAATTACTTTGGTCCTGTTTGAGTACTATTTCTAAAAACAGATTTTTGGTTTTTCGAAAAAAAAAACAAAAAACTCCGTTTGATAAGTCTTATTTTATAAAATGAGTTTTAAAAATTGTACTCTAAATTTGAGTTGTTTTTTTTTTTTAGTATTATGACTTTTAACTTTTAAAACAAAAAAATACAGAAAATATCAGTTTTCATAACTATTCTACAAAATAATTTTGAGAATAAACAAAGAGAAATGCATCCGTCTTTTAACAAGAAAAGCAAGACAATTCTTGCAGATACATTGAAAACTGTGCTTGCATTCTTTTTAATTATTTTTTTTTATAATGGAACCCACCAAAATTTATTAGTCCATGAAAAAAAATTCATTGTTATGTTGCAGAACACATATATTTCCCATAAACAAAATAGAATACAATCAAGCAGCACACTCTTTGGTTGTGTTTTGTAGCAGCTTTCTTGAAATTTACTTAGACATATGAGATTGGCATTTGGGATTGTCCATGTTTGGTACATGGTATTAAATTTTTTTCCTAGCTAAGTGATTTGCCTAGCCATTGATAATTGTTTGCAAAATCTGATAAAATGCATGGTACTCAAATTCCACTTCCAAGGTGGTATTTCACAAAAGCTAGGTAAATGAAAAATTTTTGGCACCATAACTATCAAAATTACCCTCTATATAAAGCTACCTTCATCCTTCACATAACTGGAAGCAGAGTGCGATGAACACAAGACAATTTCTAGAGGTTTGAATAGTCTAAAATGATGTGGCAATTTCTGATAGATTTATGACACTGAATGAGAGTACTCTTCACACAATCAAACATAGACACCGCAAGATGAGATTCAAAAAATTTAAAAATAAGGGGTATTTTGATAATTACAACTCATTTTTCCATCAATATTTTAACTCAAACCAAACATAGACTTTATAATATTTACCAAATTTTTCCGGTAAATTTTTTTCCAATCAAACAACTTTTGTTTACATTTTTCTACTAAACTCATTTTTCAACCATTTTTCTATCAATTACATTTTCTTAGTATTCAACAAATTTCTCCTCAACCAAATGTCCCCTTTATGTATTGTTCTCAACCAATCAGTTGGATCTACTTAAGGCCTCTCCATTGAACCGCCCGGTAGGCCTAGCCTCTCCATTGAACCGCCCGGAATGGTGATCTTGATTGAGGTGTAGTTCAAACAATTACTTCCGTTCATCCTTATTACATTGATATACTTCATTCTTTGAGAGAAAAAATTTCTCCTACCAACCTTTTGTTCAAAGGAAAGTCCGTGACGGGGGACTACTATTAATGGGCTAAGTTGATCAAATTTACCAAGTGAGTCGGACACCACATCTCAACTAAAAACCTTAAGGAATTGAGTTCATGGGTCCTTCCACTTATATACTCTTCATTTAGGTCATTACCGATCAATGTGAAACTCATCACACTTGAATATCTCAACACTTTAACAAGTTCAGGTGTAATCTAAAAAATATATATTGAAAAAAAAAATTAAATTATAAAGAAGATATATAAACTTAATTTCAGGATAATAAATTCAAAATGATTAAAAATGTCATTTGTCTTTTTTAAGATGTAATATAAAAAAAATTAAAGCACTCTTTAAAATTTATATTCCAATTTAATAAGTAAATAAATAAATTCAGTCATTTTTAAAACATATAGTCCAAATTAATAAATTAAATGAATCAAAAAATGAAATTTAAAAAACGTGTGTATCTTTACCAAAAAAAAAAAAACGTGTGTATGCATGAGCCTTCAAAGAATATTAAAAAAAAAAAGACTTTTGTAAATTATAACGTGTGTTTTTAAGGTTTATGTTAAAGAAACAAAATAAAGATTAATATTCCCTTGAAACATTTTCACTTAATAGAGTTATGAGATTTACAAGATGAGCGTCTGATCTTAGATCATGTAATGTACTTTATTTATTTTTTCTTATATGGTTTTTTTTTTCTTCAGTATTTACCTCAACCGCAGGTTCTCATTTGAACCAAAACATAAAATAAATAAAAAATATTAACTAAAATGTATAACATTTAACACCTTCAAAAATATTTTTTATTAAAATAAGTAAAATAATTTAATAAGAAACAGTCAGTTGATATATTATTATATTCACACTTAACCGCAACAACTTAGGATGTCAAGTGTTGTATAGGTACTTAAAATTAGTTTCATATTTTTAACAAGTTCTCTTGTTCAAGAGCTTTTTGTGTATGACTCGCAGGTAATATACAGGAAAATTTAACTTCAGTAAAAATGAGAGTGACAATTGGAAATGTGTTACACAACTTACTCTTTTTTATAAAAAAAAAAAAATACTATTTATACTTAGTTATTTAAAATTATTTGGTAAAAATATAATATTTAGAGTAAATACCCTTTTTGTCCTTAGCAATCTCACGATGCCGGCTTTAGTGCCTAGCAAATAAAAAGACTATTCGTGATTCCTAAGAAATTCAAAATGGACTCATTTAGTTAAAATCGTGATCCTTCATAAATTCAAAAAATTCACATTAGACCCTCAAAAGGACTAAAATGGGTTCATTTTGAATTTTTTAGGACAACAAATAGTCTTTTTATATGATAAGAACTAAAGCGGACATCATGAAATTTACCGAGCACGGAAAAAAGTATTTTACTCTAATATTTATTATTCAATTAGGATTGATCCGCAATTGGGCGCCTCACATGTGTTGCAGGTAAGATTGTAAGAAGCGTTATTGTTATTTAAAGACTTAATGAACAGACAGTCCTAAAAAGAAAGTAGAAGACATTATTGCATAACCGGCGTGGCTTTAATCCAGAGTTATTTAACTACTCCGTCGCATTTAAGTAATGGGTATTATTATCATTTAAAATAAGACATTTGTAATATGGATAACATAGTCTTATTTAACTATCAAAAAAAAAAAAATAGTCTTATTTTTATTGAATGAATGAACTTATAATATTTTCGCACCAAAGGTTGTCTGACATTTAATATTCTAATCTCCTTTGGTAATTATTGTCTGCACTCATCGCCCCCACTTGCACTCACTTTCGTTTTATAGTCACTTTTTGTCTATGTGTGATTTGCAGTCAATAAAGACGAACGGCAACTTCTCATTATTTAGTATATTAATCAACACAAGTTGTACTCGACAGGAACTGCTTTTTTTTTTTTTTTTTTTTTTTTATACATGACAATTGACAGGAACTGCTTTTTAAAAGAATAAAATTTAGACAATTTTTTTAAACACGTGATGTTATTTTTAATACAAATTAATATATATTTTTTAATTATCTCATTATACTTTTAAGAACTTTAACAATTAAGGCAGAAAACATATACATTATATTATATTAAAAATACTACAAATATATGTACAAAAAAAATAATACTACGAATATATAAGAGTTTTTACAAAAAAAGAAGAAGTTGATGTACGTGTACTATTGAACTGCTATCTTGTTTTTACAACAAAAAATAAAAGAAGTTGAAAAATGAAAACAACGTCATTGACAAAAAAGCAAAGGCTGTCGATTAATTCTTCTATTCATTTGTGTGCTGCCCGTTAGACCAATTTTAATTCGTTGGATAACTTGTGTTTATACGGGTTCGACATTTATTTTTGAATAGCTAACCTAAAATAATTAGATATATTTAAAGGGTTTTATGTTTATTCTTTAACATAATATAACTTCACTTTCCTATACACACATTAAAGAGGGTGGGGTCCACATGTTTTTCTTTCTCTTTCATCATTCCACTTTCTCTCTCCCTTTTGATGTGAGAGTTGGAAACAAGACTTACATTATGTTACATAACACTAATAAAACCCATATTTAAATGTATTCATACATAACGTAAAATATAAATATTACTTTTGGGATTTATATAAACTACTAATTATCCCAATTTGAAGGACGGAAAAATGAAAGTGATGTGAGAGGATAAGAGAATGAATAGGAGTGTGAGGGAGATCAGAGATTTGTATAACGAGTGACTAACTCGTGGCTAGCCTTTTGAGCAAAATGACAATGGAGCAGCTTTATTTTTTTTTATGGGTTTAAGGTTTCTCGTATTGTAGAAAATAATTCGATCTCATATATATATATATATATATATATATATATATATGAGAAAAATATTTCTGCAGTTAATGCAGATAAGTTATCTGCATTTATTCTCCAAACGACGTCGTTTTAATATTGAAATTTTAAAAAATTATAAATATAAAGACTATTATAACCCTGAAATAAATTAAAATTACAAAAATACCATGATTTTCGCCCCAAAACGACGTCGTATTAGGCTTACTGCAGATAAGTTATCTGCAATAACTGCAGAAAAAGCGAACCCTATATATATATATATATATATATATATATATATATATATATATATAAGTATGTGGATTTTATATTTACTTTTCTTTTCTTTTCACATGACCTCACATGGATCCCACACACTTTATATATATAGAAAATAAAATTATCTCCTATAATATGAAAAATATTAAACACTTTTTTTAAAAATGTCATTTTAGTGATGACTTATCCAAAGAAGGAATAAATCTTTTCACATTTGATTTATTGATATATTAGCAATCAATAATAAAAATGATTATTTTATCTTCTCATTTTACTAGCTATGT